ACATACATTCTATTGTCTTTCACTTTAGTCAAATCTTTCTATCAATCTGTTCTATGCCATTCTACCTCCAGATTCAGTTTTTTTTAGACACATGAGACATATTCACTCTGTTTTATACCAATCTACCACCATATTCAGTTTTTATAATCAAATGCCATTAGTTTAGGTTCCCTATACATATATCCTACTCAGTTCTTTTAAACCCAAAATCACAACAACATGAAGAGGTTGACCGGCTACAATCTAATTGGAAACAAACGTCAGAAGGAAGATGTTTCTCCACCATATGGTACACAATAACATTTGTGTCCTATCTTTAATATGAAATATATCCAGAAGATCATTACCTTATTCTGCTTTTACCGTGTATTACCAATGTATATGTGTTTTGTTTTGAAATTGTACATCCCATTGGAAGTAATTTTGATGTGTGAGATGGATTTATCTGCAAAACATTTATGAGAAACGTCAGATGCTGGTAAATGTATAATCAGAAAATATGAACAATCTTGAAAAAAAAAATGAGACATGAAGCTTATCTCTATATGTCTTTCATTGCCGAGGTTTATAGTGAAAGCTGCTTATTCCTTTACATAAGATGCTCTTTGTCTGCAGAAAGAAAATAACAATAGTTATAACATATTATATTTGGCCACTAATATAAAAAACATTCAATAAGGATATGCTAAAATCAAACTTATCTCTTCTATTTACAATCTGTTCGGCTTTTACTCAGTTGATTATACCTGCAAAAATATTATAATAGTTATTAGAATACCTTTGTATCCGAAAACAATTAGTCATATTCGTTTGAACCTATTTAGACTAATGAGTATACTTTAAAACACAAGAAATTTAAGAACATATATAGCACCTTAGTCTGCTGGCTGCGGCTCAAAAATGATGAAGACAAAGTGAAATATGAAAAGACATTTAAACATAACAGTGAAAAACCGGTCAAATTTGATAAAAAATAACATAAAACCCGTATATATCTTTACAGATCTATTATAAAAATTTAAAAATATAAAATAAAAAATTAATTATACACAAAAAAAAGAGAAGGACAAATCTGTTACCTAATTACAAATTAGGTACAGGAAAAATGCTTACAAAAATTTAAAAAACTGATTTTAACCCGAAAAAATCAATTAAACCTAACCTCTTACCTAATGACGATTTAAATACAAGAAAAATGTTGAAAAAATTAACAAAAAAATTAGAAATTTGTATATAATGTAGATCTATCACCCAATCAACCCAACAATTAGATATCTATATAGACCTGTTATGCCAGCCCGATTTTTACACCAAAAAAATGTTTAAAACAAAATAAGTTGACAAAAAATGGAAAGATTGGAACCCGTGCATTTGTCTGTTAACAAATTACGATATAAATACAATAAAAATGTGTAAAAAATTAAAAAAATCGGAAATTTACATATCATCCAGATCTATAACTTAATCAAACCAAAAAACATTGGATATCGCTATAGATCTGTAATGCCAGTCCGATTTTAACACGAAAAAATGTTTAACACGAAAAAAATTAGACAAAAAAAACATTAGATCTGCAAAGATTACCATGTAATCGACCGATTTGTACCAATATACAATGAATATGTATATCGGATTTTCAAAATCGGGACGATTTTACTTTTTCGCCTCTCTTTTCAATCGAAAAAAATTGAAACCTTAGTTGTTTTTTCGCTATCGGATTTCAAAATCAGAAAAGAATCGCCGGAGAAACATCGGATCTGGCAAAATCATCGGCGAAAAATAATCCAACATGAACGAAGAGAATAAATGAGATAGAGAGAGAGAGCGAGCGAGAAACGCTAAGGACAGAAGATAAGAGGCGATAGAAACGGCGAAATGGCAGCATCTGTTAGGGTTTCGGTATTTAAATGGTGTTGCCACCCGTCTAGGACACGTGTCCGAAATCCGTTTCGACTTATAAGTGAATTTTCGTTTTGCCCTTATAGTAAAATGGCTGGCCCAACTTATATGTTATATCTGTTGCTGAAATAAATTCTTTCCTTTGGCCCAATGACATTATTGTATAAATACAGGCCCAATTTAATTATATTGGCCCAATAATGATAATATATAAATAACTCAATTATTTTGTTATTAAAAAATGAATGCTAATATTTTATAATTTCAATACTTAAAAAATTTTAATACAATATATATTAAAAAAATATGTGATACAAAATTAACATAATTTATGTATAGTTCAAAAAAAAAATATGTTTGTCAATTTGTATTGATTTAATGAAAGAGATCAATACAAATAATATTGTGTTTTGTATCACAAACTTTCATGAAAATGTGATTGATTTCATTTTATCTTTTCACAAATATTTTAAATATTATAAGTTTTAATAAAAATAATTTATATGTTGTGTTTGGAACTTTTAAAAAATGTGTTGCGACTCATAATTAAACTTTATTAATTTTATGATTGTAGGTACCTTATTTGATATGCCTACATCAACACCTTCGTTTCAAAGATCAACTGTCAATTATAATTCGCATTCTATAACTCAAGAAACTGGTAAGTATTTTCTTTATTGTTGTATTTATTATATAGATTATTAAATATTCAGTTCATTATAAAAAGAATCGTATTATTTGTATATATTTAGTTGAATATGATTTTTTATTAGGTGTTCCAGTCGCACATTCTCAAATTTCAGCCCAAAATAGTTCCATAATAACTTCCATCGGCACTGCTTCTTCAAGCGGTTTAGTCGATTTGATTGATCTTACAATGGACAATCATGAAAACGTGCCCCCGAAAACGATGGT